TTCCTTCCTTCCTTCCTTCCCTCCCTCCCTCCCTCCCTCCCTTCTTCTCTCCCTCCCTCCCTGGACGTTTACAAAAATAGACCAGGCAACCACTGGACTGGGATGGCAGAACCGGTTGTTAAAAAAAATGGAATCCCACCCCTGCTGCACACATATGCGGGGTGACGCTCCTTGAATTTTGGGTATGAGCGTGCGCAATGCGCTTTGGGCCCTCGGTACCCAAAAGGTTCGCCCACGCTGGTATGGGTTCTCCTGCTTGAGAAGAGCGTTAGACTGGAAGACCTTTAAAGTCCCCTCCAGCACTATTATTTTGCTTGGTTCTAATAATGCAGAAGGAGCCACGTGTTTTTGGGGGGGAGCGAAGGGGAGGGGTGCCTCCGTTAATCCTTTGCAAGCGAAGCTTCTGTCCCCTCTTTGCTTGTGGAGGGGGGGGGGGAATCTGGAATGCAGGCTTGGCTAAATGCCTTTTTTCTGTCTCCCACCCCCTTGTCCTAACCAGAAAATTCCTTTTCTAATGACTTCCTCGCTCGCTTTTTAATTTCTCTGGCTGGGCTGCCAGGAATCGCTTCCCATACCCCCCCCCCTTTTTTTTCCCTTCCAGCTGCTCCCAGGGACCATAAGCCACTCTTAAATGGTGCCTTCTTGGGCTGGATCCCAATGTGGAGACCCTCCCTGTCCCCCGTTTCCCCCGCCCCCTCCAAAATCAGCCAGAGGTGAACAAAGCACCCAGCTGAGAGCAAGCAAAATATCCTTTCTTTTTTTTTTGAGAGGGGGACAGAAGCCAACATCTGCCGAAGTTCAAGTCTTTGAAGGAGGCTCCTTAAAACCATAAATGGATTTATTTGGTGTATGGGTAACAGGCATGGACTTTAGGTGCAGATTGACAGAGTTGGAAGGGACCTGGTAAGGTCATCTAGTCCAACCCCCTGCCCAAGCAGGAGATCCTACACGGGGGAGGAGGGTGGGGGTGTCTTCAAACTTGACAGCTTGAAGACTTGTGGACTTCAACTCCCAGAATTCCTCCTCCAGTCATGTCAGCTCAGG